CAGAGAGCCGTGACAGGATCGAGAGGTGAGCGAACCTGGTATGTGTTCGCTCACCTCCCGATCTACTGAGCCGACCTGTGACAGTCTCATTGCCACAGGTCGGCTAGAACTATGAGGTGAGTGGAAATCACTCATCTCATAGTTCTCCTTTAACTAGCCCACTTTATGCTACATGGTCTACAATTATTAAAACCCGGAGAAATATATTACATATGCCAATGACTCAGTAGAGGCCAATGCTGAAAGTTTACCAGATAAGTAAAGCTGAATGTACACTGAGCGAATTTCAGATAGTTCTTAATGAACCAGCTGAAATATGTGTACCGATCGGCCCCGTCTGCCACCTCCTGCCAGACATCCTTGGGGGAAAAAAATGAAGGATTCGGGCAGAAAACTGTCAGCCAAACAGCACCTGCATCTGCATTCACATCCACCGCAGTGTGAAATTCCTCCATCCATATTATTAAGCATAAAATATCTCACCTGCCACTCATCAGATGAAAGTCCCATCTCAGCTGCTGGTCCGAGATTGCTATCAGGATAGGGAGAAAGCAGAGTCCAGTTTAGTCCAGAAAGATCCCAGGACACCTGTGCTGGAAGACACAGGTCTGATCCAGTGGCTGAGCACTGCTGTGGCTGGTTCTCCTCAAAGCAGGGTCACAGCTGCTGAGTACTTCCGGGTCGTCAGGTTTCAGGTGTTGCTAGGCAACGCGTTTCAGAGGTTCAACTCCTTTGTCAATCCTAAGGGTGGAGCTGCCCACTCCACCCAGTGGTGTATTTTGGTTTTGTGCTGCCCTAGGCAAGACTAAACTCAGGCACCCCCCTCAATCTAAATGTGCCCCACCCCATCCTGTTTAGGTCATTTTGCGCAACCTGTCAGTCACTGGATATAGCGCACACGGGGTCTCAGGAGAGCTGTTCATGGTCTCAGGTGGGCTGTGCATAGTCCCTTTCCCTGCATACATGTGCTGCTCCTCTTACCTGCAGCTTGAAGTGCCATCAGTACCAACAGGATAAATTGCAGCCACCAGCCTGCTTCTGGGACATCCCACCATCAGATCACATGCTATGGCCAGCCCCGAGCCACTTGCTGCTTCTCCTCCACCTCCTGCACAAAGCCAGCCGGACAGCATCTCACTGGGCCCTCCCCTCCACCGGGAAGCTCTCTAATTAGGCAGCCACTCTTAGGGCCTTGCGGCCGTCTAGTTTGCCTCATTAGGCAATCGCCGCTGTCTGATTCTGTGCCGCCCAGCCTCGGCCCACAAATGCAAGTCCGGCCCTGTCCACCTCATTGGTTTGGGTGGAGTTTCCTGCTGCCCCCCTGGGAAGTGCCGCCCTAGGCAAATGCCTAGTTTGCCTTGCAGTAGATACACCCCTGACTCCACCCTTAGGCTGCCCACTCCACCCTTAGGCTTGACAAAGGAGGTGAACCTCTGAAACGTGTTGCCTAGCAACACCTGACACCTAACGACCCGGAAGTACTCAGCAGCTGTGACCCTGCTTTGAGGAGAAACAGCCACAGCTGTGCTCAGCTTTCTCCCTATCCTGATAGCAATCTCGGACCAGCAGCTGAGATGGGACTTTCATCTGATGCGTGACAGTTACTTTATACTGCACTTAGATCGGTGCGCCGGTTTCCTATGTTTTCTTCACAGTGCTGTTATATGGATGTTTCCCTATCCAACCAACCAGGCTGCAGGATCGGTGCATACATCTTCTCTGGAGTAATTACCAGTATAACTGGAGTTCATTTGATACTATCAATATATAGTTCATAAACAATCGATCTAGTTGCGCAAGTTGATGACTTCTGTTTTATATTATTAAGCATGGATGGGGGAATTTTTTTTAGATATTTTCTTTCAGCCCAAAAGTTAAACCAAAAAAAAAATTACTAGTGTATACCCAGCTATACAGAATAACAAGGTGTGGGAAAGAAGTGTCAGATCATTACCTCAAAACAGATATTTTCTCCTTCTTTGTCACTATCCAGCCACAAGACGACATAGTCACAGCCACGTCCTTCAACCTGGGAGCCACGTCACGGACATCGACGTCACCGGACCCCTTCCCTTCGTTAGCCGACGACGACTTGGTGAAAGGGGGGAGGAGTCTCCCGGAAGACCCGGAAGCCGGCGGAGAGGTGAGTACCGATCAAAAGAATTTTGATCGATCAAAAAAATTAACGATTAATCAAGGAATTAATCGTTAATTTCCACAGCCCTAGTATATACACACACACATATATATATATACATATATATACAGTATATATGAAACGTGTATGTGTTCGTGAGCAGGCTGTTCGTGTACACCAGTGGTTCTCAACCTTTCTAGGGCCGGGACCCCTTGGTAACATTTGCCAAGTTGTGGTGACCCCCAACGGTAAAATTTAGGGTTGACGCAGCTGCTGCAGGGACATCTGGCGGCGTGGCGGGAGAACTGACACTGCTGCGCTAAGAGAGGGCTGAGGAGGACTCACCTAGCACAGCAGAAATCACACAGTGACCCACAGGTTGAGAACCACTGCTGTAACAGCTAAAATGGCAAACCATATAACACAAGCCGAGGGTGTCAGCTTTTATTATTAATAATAATGATAATAAAAGGTTTATGTTTTCTTTTAGACAAAAATTACTATTATTTTTATGATTATTATTTATTATTAGAGGGGGTGACACCAAAATGACTGTCAGTCATATTGGTGTCACCGCCTCCACTGGTGGCATCCGGGTGCGGGCTGCACCCCTCGTGACGCCACTGAATGCTGGGACTTGTAGTTCCCTAGGTGATATGCAGAGGCTGTACAACTACAAGTCCCATCGTGCCCTCATTATCCCTGTACACCACATATCACCCTGGGAACTACAGGTCCGAGCATGCCCTCATTGTCCTTGTACACTTCCCCTCCATATCAAAGTGTTATTATTCCTAAATAAAATGTATGTGGACAGGATTAGGTGCCGGAAATCCACCATTGGGGAGGGCGGTGATGCCTGCAAATTGTGTACTGACAGTGTAGAAACCTTCCACAGGAAAGTTCTCTCTCTTTTATTGACCTGGATTATTATATAGAATATACAGTATATCTATCAGTGATATACAACACGTCACACAATGCACAGGACACAGAAACATAGGAATTGGGCGCTAGGACTTGATGAAGCTTACAAGCTCACAGGGACACACACACACACACACACACTGACAAACACAGTGACACAAACACAGTGACACACACACACTGACAAACACAGTGACACACACACACTGACAAACACAGTGACACACACACACTGACAAACACAGTGACACACACACACATTCAATGACACACTGACACACTTACATACAATGACACACACATACAATGACACACACATACAATGACACACTTACATACAGACACACACACAGACTAGTACCTGCAGCTTGGGACCAGGAGGCAGTGAGGACAGAGAGGAGAGAATGGCTCCTCCCACAGTGCAGAGAGTGGCCCCAAGGAGGTAGTGTGAGGCTCCAGAGAAGGCACATGGCGGGAGACAGCTGGAGACACAGTGTAGAATGAGCGGCACCGAAGTCAGCACAGGGGGCGGAGCTAAGATCATTACAGCAAAAGCCCGGAGCCCGGTCTACTCAACTACATGATTACCGACGGGTCTGCCTGTTTCAATATTGTGCTCCTCCCGGCCAGCCCGCTTACCGCTACCCGGCGCCCCTCCCCCCGTTGTTATGCCATTGACTCCCGGCGACCCCTGGCAAATTGTAATTCGACCCCCGAGGGGGTCCCGACCCACAGGTTGAGAACCGCTGGTGTACACATTGAGGGTCTGTTCATAAAACATTTTGGATCCAACATGACCCACTGCTCTAGCATTAATAAGAGTGCTCTATTCAAACGATGCCTGAGCATGGAAACCATTTGTCAGTTGCTGTGTGGACGTCAGCTATCATTCCTGCAGCTGTGTTCCTGCATTTACCCTGCATTCCTGCTTCCTTGTGTATATAGCAGCTTGTTCAATAACTGTGCCATGAGACCTAAGGCAAGAGAAGCCTTGTACCACATGTGGCTATCACACTAGACAGGTAAGAGAATTGTAATTGCCACCTTTAGGTGGGTGTGATCCATAAAATATACAAGCCAAGTGCAGTTAAATATATTTTTGTTAAATATATATGTTATAATTGGTCACACAGTAAGATGCCATGAAGGTTCATTATAAAGTATAAAACACCAGGACACATTTATTATTATCCTCTGAAGGCTTGCCTTACATTACACAGGTCTGATTTTCATTGCACACTGTTTGTATGAGTAGTTGTAGCCCTTGCCATCTTGCCAGTTAATACCATCAGCAAAGGTATTGTGGTTTCCCTGCAGGTATTGTCCATTCAGATTGGCAGTATGACATGCAACGTGCCACCAAGGTCCTTTATAGAGATTGACACAATGGTTATTTTGGTCTGCATCATTGTCCTGGTCAGTGGTGGAGAACTTCATCCCATTGTGATGTTTCATTGAGTCCCCTGAAAGAGAAGATAATGATATTAATGTAGCACATATCATTAACCAGCCTGCCATGACATACTGTATGATTACAAGAGACAAGCCCCTCCCAACTCCATCAGTAGAGAAGCCATATTTCCCAACATGCCAGTACTCATCCAGCATTGCCTGAATTATAGTAACAATATTGGCATGAATGTGGTCATGGGTGATAATATATTTGTGATAGTAATGAGGTCTGGGCACCCCAAAACTAGTCAGGAAACCCTACTGCACACTGCAGTTCGCCAGTTTGCGATACTATTAGATCAGCATACTCATTAAACATCTTTTTGCAGAGAGTCTTTAAAAGGTCTTCAATTCAACCTTAGGAATTGCCATTAACAAGGTTGCAATAACATTAATTAGCAGAATTATATGCTGTTGTTTTTCCAACACCCCTTCTCAACAGCATATGCGTTGCTATATGATGTTTAGCTTCTCTCGATGGAAACTGTGACTATCTTTTGGCAATGCAATCCGCAGTCATTTCTTCTGATGAGCAATATTGAATGTCGATAATAGCTTGCTCGTGTCTCTAAGCAAATGATACTTCACATCGATGTGCAGGTTCTAGGGTTGACCCTTTCTGATTGTGTCAGCTTTATACATCCCTGGTTATTTTCCAAGATAAGGATGGGTTTTGACATGTCCGTTAAAAGCTGGTGAATCCATATTGCTTCTTGACATGTGTGTGCTACTGCTATGTATTCAGCTTCAGTCTTCAGTTGAGGAAAGTGCAACGGTTGCTTGCTTTCGGCTAGACCAACTTTTGGATCCTTCCCCGTATTGGTAGATGTAACCACTTGTGGATTTGCGGTCTGTGCAGTCTCCGGCCCAATCAGCATTCGCATATCCAACTCGTTTTGGATTTGACGCTGCTGGCAGTCGTAGCTTCATGCCCAGCTATTATGCCCACTGCTGCCGCTATGTCCGGTCTTGTCACAGTGGCAATCTATAGTAGCTTTCCGATTGCTCTGCAGTACATGTCATTGTTGTGTAGCAAGTTTTCTACTTCATTGCTCTTTCTGTAGCCTGGTTCCATAGGTGTTTTTAATTCCTTAGCATTTTGCATGTGCAACTGTTCCAAAATTTCTGCAATTTTCTGACTTTGGTTAAGAAGACAGCTTCCATCTTCTTCCCTATCTTTTTGGATTCCCAGATAGTGACTGATGTTTCCTAGCTCTTTCAAAGTTATATTTTAGTTTGTGAACTATTTGACTATAGTCCCTTTCTTGTTCAAAAGAGGTCTGTCCATCTGTCTTCTTGATTCCTGGAATAAAGACAGGGATCTGCTTTGCTTCTTGTGAATCCCTCTTTCGTGAGTATTTAATTGACTTTCTTATCCCACATTCTTGCAGATTGCTTAAAGGATAATTAAAGCCTCAGGTATTTTTGCATATATCTACTGCTAGAAAGCAGTAGATTTATGCAAAAAGTGTAAAAAAAAAAAAAACCCCGCTTTGAAAAGGGTTAATACTCACCTGTGTCTTCCCCGCACGCTCCCGTCTGAAAATGTGAAAAATCTCGGGCGGCCACAAAGCATCTTGGGGTGGGCGCATGCGCAGATCACATTTTCGGCCGGGTCGCGAGGAGAGACACAAGGTAAGTCTATGGACGCGTGCACCCGCATGCAGACACCGTGGGACAGGAAGTGCCAGGAAGCCCAGAGGAGTCAGCGCTGGATCGGAGACCCGCCTCAACGCTGGAGGGACAGATGAAAAGGACAAGAAAGAAGAAGAAGATCGGATTAAGAAACATAATTTAAGGTAAGTGCTGACATTAACATTGGGGGGGAAGGAAAAACATTTTTGACTTGATTGAATGCAGAAGCTCCAGTGTGTGATACCAATTAAATAGGATATTGTACTTGTTCTCCTTATATAGGGTGCAGACAGAAGTTTTATTGGCATTAGCCCATATTTCATCCCACTCCTCCTCAGCTAGTTTCCTTCCCAATAAGGCTTCCCATTTAAGCATTCCAGGGTGGAGCTGGGAAGCACAGTGCACGGTTGACGGCGTTCACAGAGGACTGAGAAGTGTATATCCAATTTTGATGCAATTTGTTTTTAATCTACATGTGAGTAGGAATTTATTTGAATAAAGCGCTTTTTCAATATAAATTGAGCTGCACTATAGAGCATTGTTATATTTATGACAGGTACCCACAAGTTTTATAAAGAAGAAAAGCGCAGATACATTGGAAGGGGCAATACCACAGAGAAATGGAATCAGGAGTTTTCCCGTGTGCAGTAGAGTGGGCTACTCTGCCTTACCTATGTGTTAAAAGAGGGGACAAGCATGGTTAGACCAGCTTTGGGTCTAGGAGTCAGGTGAGCAGTATTCCTAAGGATGATGGCATCTCAGAGTACAGTCAACAGTGGGTGGAGTATCCTGCGTTTCTGAAGAGTGTACCAAGATAAGTCAAGATAGAGTTGTAGGGAAGCACCATCAAACTTGAGATTCTGCATATTGTGTGCCTTCCTCATAATTCCTTCCTTGAGAGAGTAGCAATGAATCCTGCAGATCAGATCTCTGGGTTGGGAGGAATTACCCCTAGGATTAGGGGCTCTTTGGGCACTATAGATTTCAATTTTATGAGACGGAGGCTCACCCAGAATGAGATTACAGATTGCTTGCAGGATTTATTTCAGATCCTTCACTCCAGTAGCCTCAGACAAACCCTTAACGCTGGGTTCACACCTGGCCGTACGGAATATGCGCGTTTGCCACGCGTTTTTACAGCGATTTGCGGTAAAAGAAACGTGCGACAAACGCGCGTTTCCGAGGGCTATCCAGCTGTATCCTAATAGATACGCGCGGAAAATACGCCCCAAAGGAGCTCCTGTACTTCTTTGGGCGTAGGGCATTTTTCAGCGCCTTCCTACGCCCAGGTGAAATACGCCCAGGTGGGAACCATGCCCATAGGCAATTATTGGTTTTCACATGTTGAGCGTTTTACAGCGCGTAGGAACGCGCTGTAAAACGCCCAGGTGTGAACCAGGCCTTAGTCTGACGTTGTTTCTGTGTCTCCTATTATCTAAGTCCGCTAAGTGTGTCTGCATGTTTCCAATAACTGAGCTTTGAGAAATCACCTGAGCATGGAGTTGATGAACATCCAATTGGATCGATTGATTTAATTTTTCACAGTTTTTATGCGTTGTGTAAGGTGATGGAAATCTTCACAAAGGACAGTTATTTCAGAACGCTAGGTTTCCCTAATCTCTTGGAGGCAGAAGTCCTTTTGAATAGGTATAAATATAATATAGTCCAAAGTACATACAGGTGAAACTCGAATAATTAGAATATCGTGCAAAAGTAATTGCAGTAAGTGCTGCAAAAGGGGCCCAAACCAAGTACTGAGTACATATGCATGCTTGTACTTTTCAGAGGTCCGATATTGTTCTATGTACAATCCTTCTTTTATTGATTGCATGTAATAATCTACTTTTTTGAAGTTGTGGATTTGGGGTTCTTGGGGTTTTCATGAGCTGTAAGCCATAATCATCACAATTATGACAAATCACGGCTTGAACTATCTTGCTTTGCATGTAATGAGTCTATCGCATATATTAGCTTCACCTTTTAAGTTGCATTAGTGAAATAAATGAACTGTGCACGATATTCTAATTATTCGAGTTTCACCTGTATAGTAAAAGTACATCTGCCAAGAGATTTATTTCTAGAGAGCCAATCTCAGATCCATTTTATGTTTCATTGACTGGACTCTGCTGAAACCCATAGAACCCAGGACTTTGCTAAGTAACTTCATACTTTTTCCCTTTTTTGTTGTGCTGTTGTATTATTTGTCCATTTCTGTAATATATTTTCTGTATATTTTTCTGCACCGTTTTCCTTTTCTTTTATTAAACAATATTTTCAAATTGTTCAGCTTTGTCTCTGTTCTCTGTATAGGAATTGAAAGAATGAGATTCTGCATATTGTGTGCCTTCCTCATAATTCCTTCCTTGAGAGAGTAGCAATGAATCCTGCAGATCAGATCTCTGGGTTGGGAGGAATTACCCCTAGGATTAGGGGCTCTTTGGGCACTATAGATTTCAATTTTATGAGACGGAGGCTCACCCAGAATGAGATTACAGATTGCTTGCAGGATTTATTTCAGATCCTTCACTCCAGTAGCCTCAGACAAACCCTTAACGCTGGGTTCACACCTGGCCGTACGGAATATGCGCGTTTGCCACGCGTTTTTACAGCGATTTGCGGTAAAAGAAACGTGCGACAAACGCGCGTTTCCGAGGGCTATCCAGCTGTATCCTAATAGATACGCGCGGAAAATACGCCCCAAAGGAGCTCCTGTACTTCTTTGGGCGTAGGGCATTTTTCAGCGCCTTCCTACGCCCAGGTGAAATACGCCCAGGTGGGAACCATGCCCATAGGCAATTATTGGTTTTCACATGTTGAGCGTTTTACAGCGCGTAGGAACGCGCTGTAAAACGCCCAGGTGTGAACCAGGCCTTAGTCTGACGTTGTTTCTGTGTCTCCTATTATCTAAGTCCGCTAAGTGTGTCTGCATGTTTCCAATAACTGAGCTTTGAGAAATCACCTGAGCATGGAGTTGATGAACATCCAATTGGATCGATTGATTTAATTTTTCACAGTTTTTATGCGTTGTGTAAGGTGATGGAAATCTTCACAAAGGACAGTTATTTCAGAACGCTAGGTTTCCCTAATCTCTTGGAGGCAGAAGTCCTTTTGAATAGGTATAAATATAATATAGTCCAAAGTACATACAGGTGAAACTCGAATAATTAGAATATCGTGCAAAAGTAATTGCAGTAAGTGCTGCAAAAGGGGCCCAAACCAAGTACTGAGTACATATGCATGCTTGTACTTTTCAGAGGTCCGATATTGTTCTATGTACAATCCTTCTTTTATTGATTGCATGTAATAATCTACTTTTTTGAAGTTGTGGATTTGGGGTTCTTGGGGTTTTCATGAGCTGTAAGCCATAATCATCACAATTATGACAAATCACGGCTTGAACTATCTTGCTTTGCATGTAATGAGTCTATCGCATATATTAGCTTCACCTTTTAAGTTGCATTAGTGAAATAAATGAACTGTGCACGATATTCTAATTATTCGAGTTTCACCTGTATAGTAAAAGTACATCTGCCAAGAGATTTATTTCTAGAGAGCCAATCTCAGATCCATTTTATGTTTCATTGACTGGACTCTGCTGAAACCCATAGAACCCAGGACTTTGCTAAGTAACTTCATACTTTTTCCCTTTTTTGTTGTGCTGTTGTATTATTTGTCCATTTCTGTAATATATTTTCTGTATATTTTTCTGCACCGTTTTCCTTTTCTTTTATTAAACAATATTTTCAAATTGTTCAGCTTTGTCTCTGTTCTCTGTATAGGAATTGAAAGAATCCTTGTCTCTTTGAAACCCCTGTCTGGAAGGACAGCAAGCATAACAGGCATTGTTTAATGCTGAAACTGTCACAACATTATCTGGGAAAGGTGCATGTTTCTGCTGGCAGCTATTATTTGTGTGTGTAAAGGGCTAATTGTGGAGTTAATCAACCCCAGTGACAATCACTCTCAGTCTGCTGGCCTTAGATTGTTGTCTCGTGAGCTGGAAAATCTCTGTGCAGGGTGAGGCTGAGAGTGATATCATCACAACCTTCACTTCCTATTCTGGAGATGCAACAGGAAATCAGAGGAAATCTTTACAGTGAAAAGTCACTGAGTGCTCTAGTGACAACTAGAGACATTTTTGGATTGTCATTTCTGTCTCAGTGAAAACGGTCACCAGGACAAATAGAGTTACATTTACAAGAAGTCCCGGTCTCAGCTGCTAAATGACCAGAGCAGCTGTCAATCAACTAGTCGGGGGCATTGACTGCAGCTCACTGGATGAATGCACAGATAGACCACCACCCTGCAGAATTGGTAGCTGGTTCCAGAAATTCAGTGTCCTTTTCACTTCCTGGAAGCTGAAAACTACTAGTCCCATCAATACACCATGTAATTGACATATACAAAGGAAGACATGTTTTAAGTCCAGCCTGCGTGACAACTATGGATCCTTGTATAGATACAGTGGAGAAATGAGCATGGCCACAAAGGGACAGGAAGTGTGTTATTTGCAGGATCACCATCTAAGGACTGGTAAACTGCAATACATGCAATTGCTGTCCTTGCATTTAGATACACTTTAAAGACTCTGTTAATCTTTTGTCAGTGTGTCTCCATTAGAGAGATTTCTTATCACTTCCTGTCCCACTCGTTGTTTATGTGTATGCTCCATAGGCATGAATAGTCTAGCAATCAGGTAAGCCTGCTTTTGGATGTATTTACTACTGTGCCTTATTTCTGCTCTCATAGGTTAGAGATGAACTGCAGAACACAGACTTGCCTTGATGCAAAGCAACTTCCACATCTATATGCAATTGTCTGTAGCTGAGACAGATGGGTAGGTCCTCTTGGTTGGCTAATAGGGTAGAGAGCCTCAAAGTTTTGTTTTGTATGATGTACAGTAAATTACCCCTCAGACTATGCACCTCGGGGCTGGATTTAAATGAATTGGACAGCTGCATCTTTTTCTTTCTAAATGACAAGTTTTACCTGCATCACCGCTTGTAAAACTCCCCAATTCCAGCTTGTACTTCTCAGACTCTCCCAGAATTTTGAAGGAGCTGTATTTAGCAAATGATCTCACTAAGTCAAAGTCTTGAAAGTCCACCCGGAGTTCCCATTGACCTATAATGGCAAGAAAAAAGTTTAGACAACAATATAAAAGGCAAGAATACTTTATTAAAATAGCAGTTTAATGAGCACTTATGATTTTTGGTTCTATTGGTGTACAAAAAAACAGAGACACACAGCCTAGGCAGAAAATCCTATGGCAGCTGAAATGGTGTCACATTTCAGGGACTGATTTTGTGTGGAGGAAATTATACACAAAAAAACATTTAAAAATTCAGATGTGGGTTCCTTGCAATAAGGATCTTATGTCCTTCTATTGTGATTGGCTCTCTACTTCTTCCCCTTGAAGTATGCACTGAGTTTGAATTTTGATTACAGACATCCCCTGCAACAAGAGTTACAATTTAGTTGAGATTCTTTCAAAGACTCCTGCATGAGTAAAGTGGTGTAGAGGCAGCTCCTCTCACTTAAACTGGAGTTTCACTCGGGTCAAAGTTAAATTCACACATAAAGTACTGGTAACCATCACCTGAAGATGTTAATTGGTGAATTTTGTCATTTCCTAACCAAAACTCCGTCAGGTAGCTCCCAAAACCTGCCTTGTAAGACTTCCAGTCTCGATAGAAATCAACAGAGCCATCCATACGTCTTTGGAAAACCTACACCAAGAAGAATAGACAAAAAAGAGGAATGTAAAAAACTTTAGTAAGTAAGTGGAAGCTATTATTTCATTAGACAACATGAACATTGAACAAGGTTTAAGAATCAGCGGGTTTTAAATGATTTTCTTCAAACATTGCACATTTTTACTCACAGTAAGGAAAAATGACAGCATAGTGGAGTCCATAACTCACTCATATTCGAAAAGGGGTTATCTCTAGCTATACAATTAACCAGTGGCGAAGCTAGACATTCTCTCACCCAGGGAAAATACTCAGAGTTGCCCCCCACCCCCCCCTTCCCAGGAGAAGTTCTCCATCCACACCTCCCCTGCCTCCACCCCACACTTCTGGGCTATCTTCTTCTTTTGTTGCGGTGGCGTCCCTCCTGATCCATCGCAGAGGTGAGGCTTCAAATCGCCTCATTTTCCAGTGCTGCTTTGTTAATAAAACAGCCGCTTCTGGTCTCGCTTTTATTTTTCCAGCAGTGCCCCTTCTAATCTGTCATGGAGGAGAGACTTGAATGAAGTGATTTCAAGCTTCACCTCCAGAAGAGGGTCTAAAGATACTGATCTACCATGTAGGTGAGGCTTATAAACACTTCATTCAAGCCTCTCTTTTGTGGCTCAGCTGGGCCTTTCTGAATGCTGTGGAGCAGAAATAGCCTCATAAAGTGTGGCTCCCTTCATGCGCGGAGATGCCCCTGCTAGCTTCAGCCCTGCTGATTGCTATACAAGGAAATATACACATCGTGTAGATGACAATCAGAAAACGTTTTCATAGCTGAGATCACATACAGTTCAGTAGTAAAGAACTCAGAGCTCAGTAGTCATGAACGCAGAGGTCAGTAGCATAGAACGCAGCACACGGTAGTAAAGAATGCAGAGCGCGCTAGTAAAGAATGCAGAGCACAGTAGTAAATAACGCATTGCTCAATAGTAAAGAATGCAGAGCGCGGAAGTAAAGAATGCAGAGCACATTAGTAAAGAATGCAGAGTACGGTAGTGAATAACGCAACGCTCAATAGTAAAGAATGCAGAGCGCGGGAGTAAAGAATGCAGATCATGATAGTAAAGAACACAGAACTCAGTAGTAAAGAATGCAGCACACTGTATTGAAAAATGCAGAGCGCGGTACTAAAGAACGCAAAGCACAGTAGTAAAAAATGCGCTGTTCAGTACTAAAGAACGCAGAGCACGGTAGTAAAGAACGCAGAGTGCAGTAGTAAAGAAGGCAGAGCGCGGTAGTACAGAATGCAGTGCCCTGTAGTAAAGAGCGTACTGTTCACTACCAAAGAATGCAGAGCATGGTAGTAAAGAACACACAGCACGGTAGTAAAGAACATAGAGTGCAGTAGTAGAGAGTGCACTGTTCAGTACTAAAGCATCCACAAACTCTTGGGGTAAGCATCCACAAATTTCCTGTGATGGGGGCTGGGGGGAGCATCCACAAAATCCCTATGCCGGGGGGGCTAAGGGGGAGCATCCACAAACTCCCTGCAAGGGGGGAGGGAGCATCCACAAACTCCCTGCAAGGGGGGAGGGAGCATCCACAAACTCCCTGCAAGGGGGGAGGGAGCATCCACAAACTCCCTGCAAGGGGGGAGGGAGCATCCACAAACTCCCTGCAAGGGGGGAGGGAGCATCCACAAACTCCCTGCAAGGGGGGAGGGAGCATCCACAAACTCCCTGCAAGGGGGGAGGGAGCATCCACAAACTCCCTGCAAGGGGGGAGGGAGCATCCACAAACTCCCTGTAAGGAGGGGCTGGGGGGGAGCATCTACAATTCCATGCGAGGGGTGGCTGGGGGGGAGCATCCACAAAGTGTATTTTCTGACAGCCTTATAGACTTTGGAATAGTTAACTTACACATTACACATTATTACAAAATTACAATTATTACAAATTTTTTAAGCAGATACACTCACAATCCAGCCTCCTCCATCGGTGTGCATATCACACAGAACTTTCAATGGCTTTTGTCCATCTGGGAATATTGTGAACCAGCCACTCATAGTAAATCCTTTATGTAGGAGTTCCTTACAGTTCTTTGCCTCTAAAACATAAGGTTATCAGCACCAGAAAAACTTGTATAAAAACTTGTTAAATTTCCAGGACTAAGGAATATGTTTTGTTACTTATAAAGAATAAATATATATGCGGTGATGTGTCATTTACTGCAATATATAGAAATATTAGGATTCTCTGCTGAATTAAGAGAAATTATAAATATTAAATAATGTATATGGATACCTTCTACTTTTACATACAGTTAGCAAGTTTAGCTCCTGGCAGGAAGGCTAGAAAAGCAAAAACAAATTGTTATTAGCCTTATTCTTATAGTTCTTCCAAATCAGCATCTCTGGGGCACCAGTCAAGTGGCCAATGCTCTGCCAAATGGGTTATATATAAGCGATGCCTGGGCACTTGGGCACTGGTAATATGACTGACTGATCTGGGAGAATTACAGGAGAAAGGAAACTATCTGGCATTTGTCAAAAAGGAACTGGCCCTCCATGTCATGAAATGGAGGATCCCTCCAAACTATCTATTGGTTTAATGCAATGTTCTTAATGGGACAAAAATATCATGAAATCCCAGTCATCGACAATGGCTCAGAGGTCCAACAAAACTCACTGAACTACACAGGGCATACGTAGCATGCCTTATCCTTTGTTACCCACCTGCTGTTTCCCAATTGCCTGCTGTCAAAGTGACATCCACGAGTTGCTGTGTTATAGAGCAACTATTACAGCTGCTGCTATCAAAAAACATACCTTGTAAACCGAGGTAATAGACACTGTTTAGATATGGGATTCATGGACACAAAGTAACATTTCTTGGTACTGTACTTGTTACTCTGTTCCTTACATCTGCAGATCATAGGGGATGACCTGTCACGTAAATATAATTTGTTCCTATTTAACCCCTTAACCGCATTAGTTTACATTATTCAACCCTTATTAACCCTTAGCAACCTATTAACCCTTACCCTTAGCAACTTACAGCAACCTAAGGCACTCTATTTTTAGCCATGTGACTGGAATTTTAAATAAATTAGGATAGTTATACTGGTGTGTGAATTGAGCCTTTTCTGTATAGGTGTCTGTTCAAGTTACTGAAAAATATAAATGTTTAAATGTAAAAGATTCAACACAGGTGGCAGGATCCATCAAATAAAGTATAATACAGGCTTAGAGTATATGCCACATTTAGACCATCAATTTTACCTCAGTGAGAGAATATTTTATTCAATCAAAAATATCAAGTAACCATTTGCCAGCTTAGATGGTAACAGATCCAGCATATTCTCATCAATGCGCCATAGCTATATGGATTCTGTGTGTTTCCTTTCAGACTGTTTCTCACTAACTGAAACTCAAAAGGGATGTCTGAACAGAGCAGAGATTGAGGGGGAGGAAGCTCAACTTTTACTTATTCAAGTATGTGTGCAAATTTCAGCTTTAGCTATTTGGCTATGTAAACACAAGGATAAACAGAGACACATGCAAATAGGAGCCAAGAGGATATGAAAAAAACAAATATTAATATGCAATAGTTCAAATGTATCTAAAAAAATGAACATATTAAGTAAAGAAAACATATACAAAAACATAATTTTTTTAAAGCATGCTTGTCTTTGCTGCATATGACTTGCTTCTAAAACTGACTCACATCTACACTCACTCTAATGAATAGACATGCCAGATTTCTGAAATTTTTTCTTCTTCTATGAAATATTGGTGATAGCTTACCGCCATATTCTGAATCGGCTTGAGCTCCTTTTTCTCCTTTTTGACCTGCAGAGTGATAACTAATGGTCACTTTAGCTGCACACATAAGTAGACATAAAAAAAACTTTCTCAAATCTGCAAATTGATCACAATCGGGTGTCAATTGGGCCTTTGAAGGTAATTTTATGCCTCAAAATATGTTTTCATGTCATAATTGTAAAATGTACTGATCTGTAATTAAAAAAAAGATACTCACTGGTACAGGGTCCCATCCTGACTGGCTATCATCTTATGTTAAACATTGTAAGTAACATTTACAGTGGTCAAATGTACTTAATTGTATGACATTTGTTATCAACACAGTCCATTTAATAAATAAAGGTTATATAAAAACAAATATCTCTCACCTTTTATTCCCTGGACTCCTGGCTCCCCTTTGACACCAGAATTTCCCTTACCACCTAAAATGAAGATGAAAAGTAATATAACACATGAAGCCCAATGTTTTAGTAGAGCTGTATGTGTGAAATAATTTTGAATTCTTTTTGTGATTTCAACTGTGTATGAAAAGGCAACAAATATATCTAAAGAGAATAAACAAAGAGGTTAAGAATGCATTTCACAGACTCATGAAAGTTAGCTGTGTTAATTGTAAAAATATTGTCACAAACCCCCCCCCAAAAAAAAGATGCAACCTGCACAAAAATTGTCTACTATATACCATATACAGCATATACAGTATACTATGCGAAATATGTTATTCTGCCATCTCCTGCAGCATAAGAACATCATTTTTAATGCAATGAAAATACTCATGCAATGAAATGAATGATAATATGATGAAATTAGTAATAATTAGGGATGCACCGATACTGATACTAGTATCGGTATCGGTGCCGATACCGAGTATTTGGGTGAGTACTCCTACTCGCCCAAATGCTCCGATACCTAGCACGAGTACTTCCTGTATCAGGAAGTCGGGCAGCTCGTCATTACACGCTGCCCGTTTTCCTTATTGGCCGGGAAACTGCCCCATTCTCTCTCGTCACTTGTGATGAGAGAGCAAGGAGCCGACTTCCCGGCAAATCAGGAAGCCGGGTAGCGTGTAATGACGCGTTTTCCGATTGGTCAGAAAGCTAGCCAATCCGGAAGCCGGGTGCCTTGTAATGACGCAGCGCCCGGCATTCTGATTGGCCGGGAAGCCGGCGTCATGCTCCCTCGTCATCTCATGAATCATATTAAGAAACTGACCTAAAATCATTAGTTGGTATTGCTTTAGAAAAAATGTGACCTGGTCCTTTAAGAAAAAGTATCGGTAATTGGTATCGGCAAATACTTGATCAAAAGTATCGGTACTCGTACTCGGTCTTAAAAAAGTGGTATCGGTGCATCCCTAGTAATAATTATGGCCTGAAAAGACACAGATAGTGTGGTTAGTGGTGATGTTCCCCTTTGAATGGTTGTGCATTGGAGAAGTGGCCCTTTACATCGGAAGACAAGTGGAAAAGGGCCCCCTTACACTGGTGATCATTGAGAGAAAGCCACCTTACATTGATAGGGACAGAATTGCCCCCTTACATTAGTGGTCAGTGAGAAAAGGCACCCCTTAAATTGGTTGTCAATAAGAGAAAAGCCCCCTTATATTGGTCATCAGTGAGGAAAGGGCCCCCTTCCATTTATGTTCAGTGGGAGAAGAATCCCCTTACATTTATGGTCAGTAGGAGAAGGGTCCCCTTGCTACTATCACAGGAGGAAAGAATTATCCTTATATTGTTAGTCACTGTTGTGCCCACTTACATTGGAAGTCACTGGTCCAACAACTATAGTTTTGAGTGGCATTGATGTTGGAACTATGCAGGCACATCCGAAGAAAGATCAATCCACAATTGCTTGCTGCTCAAGGGACCACTGACAACCTCTGTAGGAAGCCTGGTTGAGAAAGGCTGGTGTAGAGCAGTAAAGATGGTGGCTGGGCTAGTTCTAAACTACTGTGTAGCAATACACAAAGTGTGTGATAGGAATATACCAATTCTACCACCCAGGATAAACTTGGCTACTCAGACAGCAGAATGAGTTTCTCACCCACCTGTTTGCCCTGGTGGTCCCAGCTTCCCAGGTACTCCAGAGGGCCCCCTCTCTCCTAATAATAAAAATAAATAAATTTAAAGTTACAGTTAATGGGGGGCATAATTAATTTGAGCAATATATACAATACAACTTTTAAAATATGAGCATATATGTATATATACACAGTGAGCCACATTACCTGTGGAACCAGTGCTTTCACTGCCAGAAGGTCCTTATACTGTATTTATAGATATCTGTTGACGTTGGCTTTAAATAGTAATAAGTTTGAGAGTGAGCAAAGATGGAAAACTTTTTTTAGCCATTTTTAACTCTCTACTATGGCTCTATTGTCTCAGATCTTGTAGGTGAAGAGGAACAATAACTAGGCCTAACAATGAAGTACTAAAAAGCAAACTATGGTTCCTCTTCAGCCTTCTGAAACTCAAGATACTCCTCTTCTCCTGCATGGTCAGTCAGAACTGCCATCTCCTTCATCCACCGTTGTCAGATAGGAGTGGAGAAGGGGGAGAGATCTGACAACAGTCCTCAGCCACCTCTGCAGTTTTCAATGGGGACAAGTGCTCTGGGTCCCTGGGGAGGGCAGGTCAACAAGCATTTTTAAATTCTGTTAATACTGATTGTTTAATGGTACACTCCAGTCAAACATGTTCATTTTATATTTCAACCCAAATGCAAGAATACATCATATGTGTTCAGCATTTCTAACTTTCATCCTGGTATTTACTTTGTGCTCTTGGCACCTTGCCAACCAAATGCTTAGGTTGCCATTGTCCTCAACTTTTAGTTGGCCCTATATCTGACAGTGCCAAAGAGTTTACTCGGTTTAACATTTTAACATATCTATACTCTGTAATCACAAAAAGAAAAAGATGGGGTTTTGAAGGTACCAAATGACAATTCCAAGGCAATGAAAGGTAAATAAAAGTAATATTTATTAAATAGTGATTAAAAATATATATTTTTTTTTTTTACCTTTCATTGCCTTGGAATTGTCATTTGGTACCTCCAAAACCCCATCTTTTTCTTTTTGTGATTACTACTATTCCTAGGGGTGTGGTACCACATACTCAGGTCCTGGCCATAAATGTAATGGCTCGATATCTATACTCTGAGCTCACACATATACACTGCCACTTAGGAAGGAGTTTATACAATACAGAAGCCCAGTAAAAAGGTGAATGAATCTGGTTCCAATGGATTATATAAAACATAGATTTATGATACATGGAATAGACATTCTGACAACAGTATGGTGGACATATATTCCAGATGGCACAAGACATGCACATATATTGTATTTGTTGCCTGCAGTTGATCTTAAATTTCCTGACTTACCTTTCTCTCCTGGTGCCCCATTTTCTCCTTTTTGGCCAGGAAATCCATGAGTTCCAGGACATCCTCTGAGGATGGTGAGTTTATCTGAATCTCCAACTCCAACAATCTTTACCTCTTAGAAAAGAGAATTGTGCAGGACAGAGATATTAAAGCACATTTATACCATTTATAAAAACATTTCCTATGCTTCTTGGTTCCAAATGTAAATGTCAGTTTTGCAGAATGAATGACTCTGTGAATGTTTTATAAATACACCCGTCAATAACACTCAATGTGTAATGCTGGCCATACACAACAAATGTTTAGGAATATTCAGTTGTAAAATTAACCAAATGTGCCCACATTTAGGCTATGCTCCACTCTTGTCCCTTCAATGGGCACACTTGGTATTCCTCAGCATTGTCTCTGCATTTTCAGCATGTTCTTTGCTTTTCCATAGAGCTACCAATTACAATCATAAATCAATGTGCATTCCAATGGATCTTCAAACCACCCTATATCCCTCTATATACTTTACATACCATTACCTCCATATTGAACTTTTGTTTTTCACAAGCCCTCTCCTACATTTCCTGATATCACTTTACTGTAAGATTCTGGTCACTTGCATTGATCCTTCTTATCATCTAACAAGGAGAAAATGAGTGTGCACTCTTTGTGACAGTTAGGAGACAGGCATGCTACACTAGGGAAGAAGAGGTATAGTGAATGCATGGTCACATCATTTAAACAACCCATGCAAACCTATTGATTGCCAAAAATGCTTAGGATTGCTAAGAAGAAAAAGAAAACTGTAGAGTTAGTTAGGCTCCCAACTGAAAACAAGCATTTTTTAAGTAAAAAGGGGGCAAAAAAACCATCAGATATATAAGAATAAGTGAGCAATGCAAACAAACAAACAAACAGAATTGTAAAAACTGTAGTGTATTGTATTGCATCTAAAATTTCTAAGACATCTGAAAGTTAATAGAAAACAAAAAATCAAAAGTTCTGCTAGGGTACTGAATGCAAAAATTACTCTTTCTCACAACATGGGCGAAAATCTACTGAAAAGAGCCCCCCAAAATCAGAATTCCCACCATGAAATCATGAAAACAGGTGACAACATTGTCAGTCAAATGTAAACGCAAACATACCTGGACATCCCGAGTCCTCGGCATCACCGAGAGCCATTAGCAGTAAAAGCACTGATATCACCCACATCTCCATCACTGGTCTGTATTGCCTCCTTGCAGTTCTGCAATCCATTAGATAATAGGATACTGCGTGGGGAACACTTATACTCCTAGTAACCCTTTACCAGAAAAACAATCACACGGTTTCTAAACTCAACTTTGACCCTTTTTAACTCCTGGATCTTTTCCAGTTTCCTGCTATTTCCTCAGACACTTTAACATTTTCAGAGTTCCTTTTGTTTAACCCCATTTACATTTTTCTACACAGTAAGGATATCAAAAGTCCATACATTGTACATTCTCTACAAGTAAAAAAAAATATATATATATTATATAAAAATTATATATACAACCCCAATTCCAAGTTGGGACGCTGTGTAAAATCAACATAAAAACACAATGTAATGAGTTACATAGTTACATTTACAAATCTCATAAAGCCATATACAGTATTTTATTCACAAAAGAAAATAAGAAAACATATCAAATGTTTAAACTGAGAAAATTTACCATTTCAAGAAAAAACTAAGTAAAGTAATTTTTTAAATGATGGCAGCAGCACGTCTCAAAAAAGCTGGGACAGGGCAACAAAAAGCTGGAAAAGTAAGTGGTACTAACAAGGAAGAGCTGGAAGAACATTCTGCAACTAATTAAATCAATTGGCAACAGCTCAGTAACATGATTGGGTATAAAAAGAGCATCTTAGAGAGTCAGAGTGTCTCAGATGGCAGAGGTTCACCAATCTGTATCTAAACATTGTGGAATAATTTGAGAATAATATTACAACAATATAATTACATAGTATTTGAGGTTGAATAAAGACACAGGTCCATCGAGTTCAACCTTTATGTGTGTGTGTAATGCGTGCATGTGTGTATATGAGTCCCTCTGTGGTCTTAGGTTTTAAGAGTACCTGTACCCCTGTATGTTACGATCTCTGAGGAAATTGTCCAAATGCTTTTAAAAATATTCAACACTCTCAGCTGATATCACTGCTTGTGGAAGTGAGTTCCAAGATGTAACCGCTCTTACTGAAAAGAATCCCCTACGCCCTTTGTGGTTAAATCTGTTCTCTACCAATTTTAGGTGGTGGCCTCTAGTCCTTGTTAGGGAGTTTACTGTAAAACGTTTATTGCTGATGTTGCCATCACCACTAAACATTTTGTACATTAAAATCATGTCTCCTCTTAATCGCCTCACTTCCAGCATGAACAAGTCCAAATTTAGCAACCTTGTCTCATAGCTTAGATCCTACCCCTTATTGAGTTTGCTGCCCTTCTCTGGACTCTCTCCAGCTCAACATAAAATTGCAGATACTTTAATTATATTATCATTTTCAGTACATAATATCATCAAAAGATTTCGGAGAATCTGGAAAAATCTCTGTTTGCAAGGGACAAGGCCGAATATTATATGCCCGTAATCTTTGGGCCCTCAGACTGCACTGCATTAAAAACAGGCATGATTCTGTGATGGACATCACTGCATGGGCTCAGGAATATATATCCAAAAATCACTGTCTGTGAACACAGTTTGCCATGCCATTAAAAAATGCAAGTTAAAGCTCTATCATGCATAAAAGTCATATCTGAACATGATCCAAAAACGCTGCCGTCTTCTCTGGGCCAAAGCTCATTTAAAATGATCTTTCACAAAGTGGAAAACTGTTCTGTGGTCAGACGAATACAAATTTTACATTTTTTTTTGCAGCCATGGGAACCACGTCCTCTGGACTAAAGAGGAGAGGGACCTCACGGCTTGTTATCAGCACTCAGTTCAAAAGCCTGCATCTCTGATGGCCTGCAAATTTTCACCTTGGCCTGTTTACTGCATTCTGCCTTCTGATTTGTACCTCCCTGACTGGCTGCTATCGACCCTGGCTTGTGACCCCGACTCTGCTCCTAGTTTATATTTGCTACCTCATGGTTTGGCTATTCCCGACTTCGGCTTGTGACCCCAATTCTGCTCCTGGTTCCTGTCTTGGTTTTCTGCCGCTTAGCTGTTACCTGCGTACAGTCATCTAGTCTGTCATCCTCAGCTTTGCAAGCCTTTAGAGTTTTTTTCAGAAACAGCCTTCATGTTCTTCTCAGAAAAAGTTTCCTTAAAGCTAACATAACAATCATACTCAATATGTATGCACCCTCCTTGAACCTGGAAACATCATACTGAAATTATTTGCCACCATCACCTGTGTAGTTTGCAAAGAATATACTGCTGTATAAGATACAATTCAAAATTTAGAATTGCTTCACGATCAGAACACAGATGCGTATGTTCACTGACCCTTATGCATGATCCCATCAAACTGGAGAGAAAGCCATTAACTAAAAACAGCCTGGGGCAAAAGACCAGCCCTGGATTAGCCATAAATGAAAACATGTGCTTAGGGCACTGAGGTAAGAGGGAAACCACTGAGTTTTGTCTCCTAGCAATCATGTCCTAAATTCTTTCACTGCCTCACTCAACTTAAGTTAAAAAAATATTTGTGGCTTTCCTTTTTCTGGTGTGTTTGACAGGATTGTTAACAAAAAGAGAAAAGTGTTGCTTGGCACGACGAGCAATTTTATTTTTTAAAAGAGATATCACATTTTATTTTGACTTTGCCAAGGTGAGTAAAAAAAAAACCCCAGAATTTTTTTTTTCTCATATGTAAGTTGCCTTTTGCAGGGTGGATGTAACATTCACTAACATTCAATCCTTAGAGAAGATAGCCTTAAACAACAGGATCAGAACATACAAGCCGAAGAGAAAATAATAATATATAGTTACATAGTTACATAGTATTTGAGGTTGAATAAAGACGTAAGTCCATCAAGTCCAACCTATTGCGTGTATGCATTTATGTTTGAGGGAGGCCTCTGCTCTGGCCTGTGAGTGATACAAACATAGGGTAAAAATGCAGAACGATAAGATAAAATAGTGGCGGAACGTGGTGAAAGAAGCATAGCTGATATTCAGAGCAGGAACTTGTATCCTACCACCCAACTGGTGGGGCCGAATGCCCAGCAGCCAGACATTTGCTTTTGGCAGGCAGGTGAACCTCATCCCTAGTTTGGAGCAGTTTCTTCCGTGCTCCCCAGTCTATGGTTTTCCTACATGGATCCTGAAGCTACACTCCAGTCCTTGCTCTGTACTGATACCTGAACTCCTTGTCAGTCCTTGTGATGTTCCTCTGTCCCTCCAGACACCTGTTCCTGCTTAATAACATGGTAGCACCTCATGATGAGGACTGTATACCTTTCCCCCCTACACATGAATTATTGAAGGAAATGTGCAGGGGCTTTGTAAATATTTTCATCATATCATAGATATCAAAGAAATGTTTACTTTTTTTAAGTTAAACATGAAATATTGAATAATAATAATAAAAAAAATACAATACACTTGTTTCCTCTTTGGGCCAGCAAGAGTCTTAAAGTGTATTATTCATAGCCATTTTTTGTTCCATTGAGGATAGACAGTTGTCATTTGAACAGTTGTCCCCGTTGGAGGAGCTCCACCTTTTTTTCTAGAGACAACTTTAAATCTTTCTATTTCCCCTCAATTTCTGTCTGACAGTGATCATCATTACAAACAGAGAGTAAGTCTCCCCATTGGGATCAAACACAGCAGCAAAAATTGACAGAGGGTCTAATCCTTCTAAAAAAAACCCTATCCAAAAAAACCAAAAACGTAGGGCAGGGATGGCCAAACTGCGGCCCTCCAGCTGTGGTGGAACTACGAATGCCATGAGGCTTTGCAAGATTCTCCCAGCCACAGACATGACTCCCGGAGAGAGATGCATCATGGGATTTGTAGTTTCACCACAGCTGGAGGGCCGGAGTTTGGCCATCCCTGGTTTAGGGATACAAAGTACACATTTCATTCTGCTACATGTTCTGTTGGTCACAATGGTAACATGTTTTTGGTACAACATTGAAGGGTTTTGAATTAGCACAATTTTGCTATTGTAGGGACCCTGTCTTGAACTGTAGTGTCCCTAGTCCACATTCAGTGTTTACAGCTAGACTATAGCCAGCCCCAGCTTGAGCTTTGTGTATGTTATTTGAGTTCCTTGAGTTTCTCCTAAGCCCAAGGACATTGTTTCTGCAGGCTTCTAAGGAGTGTTCTCCAGGGATACCATTTAATGGGGATATGGATGTTTATTCTTCCTTCCCCATCAGGAGTTTATTCCAGTAATTGAGGCTTGGGAAGGGAATACATAGCTGTGGTGACCTGCTAGAAAGGTCCTTCCTGGCCATGTCAGAGTGAGGGATTCTTGTCTTTGCCTTCTAGGTTTTGGCGTGTGGAGGGATTCCATATGTGAAGCATCTCCTTGTCTCCCAGGTCTACTGCACGGGGAGGGTGTATCTGTGATGGGTCCTGTCTTGGCTTCTTGGGCCTGCTACCTGGGAAGGGTAAATCTCTAGACAGTGGTCTTAGTTTCTCAGGCCTGTTGCCTAGGGAAGGAATCTGAAGAAGAGTTCTGCTTAGTGAATTCCCAGTTTTAGCTTAAAGGTAATTTTTGGGTTATCCTGTACCCCGACCTTCTATCCTCTAGATCAGGAGTAGCCACATTTTGTCTCTCCAGCTGTGCAGCAGTGAAACTACAAATCTCATCATGCATCTGCCACTAGAAGTAATGCCTGTGGTTGTCAATCTTGCAATGCCTAATGGCATTTGTAGTTTTACCATAGCTGGAGGGATGAAGTTTGGCTACCCCTGCCCAGATGTTTTAGCTAATAAAGTTTGTATAAAGAACACTGTTGGAATGGACGTCCATCTGTCTAGTGCATTTGGTGGGTCGGTAACTATCTGGTTGCAGCTACAGGGTAGATCTAGGAAGGCATGAGAAATCCAGCAGCTCCTTGGGGGTCATTGCTTAACAACTTAAAGAAGACTCTGGGCATATTAAAAATGATCCCTAGCAGTGGGGCTACCTCCGCACTGTGAAGGTTAAGTGCTCATTTTGGTCTAAGGTCTAAAATAAAAAAAGGTATATTCACAAAAACCTTGGTCCCACCTGGCTGCTAGACCGGTTCCCCCAGCCTCTTCTCCCCCGGGCTCCGGCGATC